CATACATGTATTTACCCTTCTCCAAACCCAAACTCACTGAAGCAAGGCTGCTGAGATCCCACTACCTGCTATATAAACTTACAGTAGCACTTTGTTACTTGCTTTACATGGAACAAACATGAATTATGATAAACTTTAAAATTCCTATTCTCCTTTGATGTAAACCAAGAGGGTATAGCTCACTTTCTTTAAACATAGTCATGAAACACAATTTTCATTCATCTTACCTTCCATCCAAAATAAAGACCTCAGATAAATTTTATGTAAATAACCTGTAATCTGTAGAAATTCAAAAGGTCATAGTCCCCTTCATTAGTCAAATTAACAATGATCTCAAGCACTGAAGAATCTGTCACTGAAATGGATAGGAAGTAGTAGTTTCATCACAGGTTTTTATAGTCCAGCAAAGGCCAAAGAAATACAGTGTACAAATTAAGAGTATTTGTGTTGAGCTACATGGGGTTAGTGGAAACTACAGAAATAATGAGAAATAATTTGGCCTGATATTTATCTGCCAATCTTTTATTAACATCAACAATCAACAAATCTTTTATTAACATCATTTCTCATTTTTTCTTTGCTAACTGACTCACCTTTTTACTGCCCACTTGTGAATTTCTGTCTAAAGATGTATAATGTAAAAGAACTGCAAGAAAAAATGTACAGATTGTAAAGGGTTTTTTTGATACTTAATGTACATTAAGTTTGTGTAATATTTATATGATAAAAGACATTAGGATCCCTACAACATGTCTTGTGTTTCTTCTACTTTACAGATATGTGGAGCTTTTGGAAACTTCACCTTTTTACTATAATCTACAGCTGAAACCACTCCCCTATTCTATTAGCCAAACTGAGTTTTCCTGGGAGGAAAAGCAAAGCAACTAGATTGTTCAGTATACATTTTTCTAAATCTTTTCACAGTACAGAAATATTCAACCTATTCCCTCTTTTTAATATTCAAAAAGTGAAATTTATTTGGAATTCAGAAATTCCAGGTTGCATCACATCAGCTATTCAATAAAAGCGAATTCTCCAACTCTTTTTTAATCCCATTTTAGGATTTAATATAGGGCTCTCCAGTAGGCAGGAACACTAGAAATAAACACATTCCTCGGCCAGTAGTGCAAACAGGAGATGGCGGGTTCTGAAGAGCACACTAAGCCATAGTTAAGGGAGAGTTGGAAGAACCATCAAGGCCTAAGGTATAGAAGAGAATGTGGGGTTGAGAAAGGTGAAGAACAGAAAACATTTTTATTGCTTATATATGACCAAGGAAAGGTAAACCTGGTCAAAAAAACAAAACAAAATAGGCAAGATGTGTATGCCTTGGGAACAGGATAAACTTGCTAGTATGGGAGGAGGGGAAGGTCAAGACCCAGACAGAACCAACTTCCTGGAAATGCCTTATTCCTCTGGCCTGTTTTCCTGAGTCTGCTTCAAGTCTGTACTTTTAGAGCACAGAAACAATGCTAACAAATACATGTTAAAGACTCCTTCCAACAGAGATTTCACTTGGTCTGGGAACAAATTTTAGGTTAAGAGGTAGTAATTATAAATTTTTCTTCCTCCTTTAAGACTCTACCAATCCCAAAGATAAAAAATATACACCACTGACTGAGTACCAAAGTATTAATATTTCAAATAAATATCCCAAAAGGGAGCACTTGCTTATAAATATTAAGTCTATAAATACTTAACATTAAAGTAGACAAACTTCAAATTGTCATTTCTCTTTTGTCTTTAATCCCACAGTTCCATCTAAGCAAACCAGCAAGAAGAAAAATTTTGAAGTTATAAGTAAAATTGGTAGAAGATAGCTCAATCCAATGTACAGACCCACCCAAGGCAATTCATTTGTGGTCATGTTAAGAGTGCTCAGAGACAGCCAAGATTTCCCCTTAATCCCCAATTTTTTGTTTAACTAGACCAATGAAAAAGGGGAGGAAAATTCCTTCACTTAAATTCCACTGTAGAGTGCATTCTGGTACCTCTAAATGGGGGTGTACTGGGCGGGATCTGTGGCTCAGTGGGTAGGGCACCGCCCCCATATACTGAGGGTGGCAAGTTTGAACTCTGCTCCAGCCAAACTGCAACAAAAAAATAGCCATGCGTTGTGGTGGGCACCTGCAGTCCCAGCTACTTGGGAGGCTGAGGCAAGAGAATTGCCTAAGCCCAGGAGTTGGAGTGGAGGTTGCTATGAGCTGTGACGCCACAGCACTCTACCAAGGGTGATAAAAGTGAGACTCTGCCTCTAAAAAAATATAATAAATAAATAAATGGGGGTATATTTATCATTTTGACAATTCATAATATTTCATACAAAATAATGAAGTCACACTGCCAACAAGGAGAAATTAAACTGCCTCCTCACCTCCCACCCCAATTCCCATCCCAAATATCTCTACTCTGTGTTCCTTACAAGGTGTAGACAGTATCATTCATTACTGAGGACATTTTCTGGCCACAAATCTTTTTAGTCTGTCATACCTTCTTTTGTCACAATATTAATGTAATTAGATATTTGGAGTTAAATTTTTTTTTTACCCTCTGTTTAAACAGGCAAGATTTCCCGGATCTGCCAAACACAAGGAAACAGATTCAAAGAAAATACTTGTTTCCCTTCTGAGGAGTACTTCTGGGTAATGGTGTGGCCACTATGTATGGACAGGACATAAGTTCTTTATATATATGGTCCAGAGGAAAGGCAAGTTACTACTTTAATCCAGAAACTCCCAGTTAGATCATCTCTATACACGCTCTTAGGTACCACAGAATGGACAAAGAAGAGAAAAGGGTAAGGAAAATGAGGTAATAGAAAAAATGAAATTGAAAACCAGGCAAAAAGAGTGAAAAGAAGGAATCAAAAAGATGTTGGATTTAGGAAGCAGTGAAGTGCCATTCATATTTTCTATGTTGGAATCTAACTTAATTTACAAATATGTTCACATTAGGACCCAACTCGACTCATTGCTATTGTAGATACTGCCAAGCAAACAGTTCTACAAATGTTTATTGAAAAGATTATTGTGAAAATCCTACCTTATAGGCAAGAGTAAGATATTAGGGCCTTGATGATTCAGTTTTTTCATACAAACAAGGTTTACAGGAATGTGTAAATAGGAGTGGTTCCAGCTCCAACATGATTCCAGGAACAAGTACTAAACCTAGATAAGATTTATAGTGATTGCAGTGAAAAACCCAAATAGCACTCTTACGAAGGCATAAAGAAATCTTACAGAAACTGATAAACTATTGTTTCTAGCACATTTACTATAAATCTTTAGTAGTAAAGTTAAAGTAGTTGTAAATCCCCTTTCTATATCCTAGAAAGAAATGAAGCAGATGGGGCGGCACCTATGGCTCAGTGGGTAGGGCGCCAACCCCATATACTGAGGGTGGCGGATTCGAACCCCACCCGGGCCAAACTGTAAAAAAAACCAAAAAGAAATGAAGCAGAGTTGAAACTGTTTTAAATTAATATTTTTAAACTAATAACTCTTTTGAAATGTTTCACTCAAATGGTCTTTTGAGTACATATTTTTTAAGAATTAGTTTTCAGAGTTCAAAGCTACTGATAAAGGTGTTTTCTTAATTATGGAAAGTCTTTTTCTCAACTATCACAAATGAAACAGTCTTTTCATTAAACAAAAACACACAAAAAAACCAAATTTACTAATAACTAATAAAAAAAATTATTATCCTAAACATATTTCTTCAGTTAGCCTGAAAAATACATTTCCAAGATTATAGTAAGTTCACTTTTAAAATTTTAACATTATTTTAGATTTTACCTCAGGGTTCACTATAAAACAACAACAAAAAATCTGCCTAATATTAAATACCATTTGTCCTCTAGCAACAAATTCAGCTTTCTATCCATTGAGTTGGTTAGATCACAAAGAGTTTTTATGCACAGGTACTGACCAGGAACCTACCTGAAGATACACATTTTACAGTGGGATTGAAAAAAAAAAAATGTGAGACCAGCTCTTTTCTTCTCCCTGTACTGAGAAAAATACATTATGCAGCCAACCTCTTAAAGCCATTCACAACAGGCCCTCTACAAATTTTTAAGAAATTGCATTTGTACTGAGGTCTTTACGAAACCACCAAAGGAGAAGACAAGTGTCTCTTTCCTCACTTAGCAAGTAAGGACAAATCAATCCTTGAAAGCTAAGGTCATTCCAACCCATAGCATCCTTGGCCTAGTGCCATGATTTGGATTCACAACTCCTAATACCCAAGCCTTTGATTGCCCCAACCACCAAACCACACATATAGCCATTTGCTAACCTTGTGTTTGTTAAAGCTAGCTATGAATCAGAATTACCAAGGAAGGCCTTAACCCTAACCCTGATCCATCAAAGCTGAAAACTGGTACCTTAATCCTATGTGATATATAGCTCAGCCTGCCTTTTAACAGACAGATACCTAAAGTGAGGGCAAAAATGATGAAGAGACCACTTTGAAAGAATATTTTTGACACCATCATGTAAAATTGGTACGAATCTTTGTCCCATTAATGTAATTCTAACCACAAACTTAAACTTCTTTGTCAAACAAAAATCTCACAGATTTCAAATCCAATTAGAAAATAAATCAAATATGCACAGTAAAGAACAGACATGGGCTTCAATTAATTGAACTTAAGAAAAACCTGGGCAAAGGAATTTCCTGTAATCAAAAAAAAGGAATCACGATAACTTCCTACTGAACACAACTAATAGGGAAAGCCCTATTTTGTAAAGTAGAATTAAAATACACAAAACACATCCACAGGAATACAGATGAGGCAGAGTCTATATTCCTTTCCATCAAAGGTGGGATCATTTATGTGTCTCAAACCTGAACAAAATACAGGTAACAGTCTAAATTCAATCATGACAATAAAATACTTTCCATTTTTTAAGTTTGATGGTAATATTTACATTTTAAAAAATAATTTTTTTTTCTTTTTTGTTTTTTAAAAAGTCACAACATGCTCAAGGATACATACATATGGAAAAATCACCACTTCATCTAAGAGATCAACTGGTAGTATAAAACAATATTCTTACATATTAACCCAATTCAAGAATGGTATCATCAGGGAGTCTAACATGGTGTTTACTTCAAAGACGATATTCAAGTATGTTATTTAAAACACTATGTCTAATATATCTATCAAGAAGTAAGCACTGCTATCTCATTTTTTAGTTTTAGTATCTTCTATATCCACCACCACCACCTCCTCCATATGGATCTCCATAACCTCTCCCACCATAACCCCCTCTTCCACCATAGCCTCCTCTTCCACCATAATCTCCCCTCCCACCATAATCTCCCCTGCCTTGGAAACCTCCTCTACCACCCCCTCCTCCACCCCATCCACCTCCTCCTCCACCTCCACCCCCACCCCAGCCACCTCTTCCACCCCCACCTCCTCCTCTACCACCTCCACCACCCCCACCCCCCCAGCCACCCCTTCCGCCGCCTTCTTGTCTCTTTTGCCAAGGGGGCATTTCAGGAGGTGGTGGTTCAATTTCATTTGGCCGTCCTCCCCTGTCAGGCACCCTTCCCATCAGCACCTGTGTGAAGAAACATTTTCTTTTAGTTTTTAATATTTCAAAAGTTAAAATTTACATGAAAGTTTCAAGTGATTGTAAAGTTATTGTTTCTAATAAACAGAAGCCAAATATTTAAGGACATGAACGTATACAAGTTAATAGCTCACTACAGTTAACAATATGTATTTTCAAATAGCTAGAAGAAGAAATATTGAATGTTCCCAACACCAAGAAATGATAAATATGATATGTTAATTACCCTGATCTAATCAGTATATATCACTATGTATCCCACAAATATGCAATTTTATGTGTCAATTTTTTAAAACTTTATAAAAGGAAATATGAAAAAATGTAAGTGTGAAATATGACAAATTCCTCTTAATGATATTATTTTTAAATAATCTGTGAGAGTATTTCTTAAATTTAAGGGCTTGCTAATTTGCTCTCATTTAAGTTTGTTTAGCAAATTCTGAAACAAATGTAGTATCCATCTCACTAAGAAATGTTTCTTAGTAAAACATTTTTAATATGTAAACTACATATTCTACATGAATTAACTTCACATCCATTTATACAACAACTCTGGACTTTCCATTGCCACTGATTTGGCAATGGATTAGCCAATAAAAGTTTGTATTGCTATGCACATTTTACTTCAACAAAGTGTGAAGTATATATGATAACAGGATGTAATGAGGTCAGAGATTAATACAATAACTATAATCCCAGGTCTCATGGCAAAGATACTGAGATTCTCAAATTATGCCTTTCCTTTGAGAAACTTAAGGTCCCTTTCAATGATGATACTAGTCACTATATTATTATAAAGGGAATAGAGTTGATATACTTCCTTAACATACATTACAATACTTTGAAAAATAAACCAGGGAAGAAGTTAGTTTAAATATCCAAACTTCTGTAGAAAGAAGCTACTTTAAAAATAAGCCCATGAACAGAGGGAAAGACAGACAGCACAGCCCTGAGGAAGCCAATAGCTTCTTTCCAGTGTCTTTCAGAAAAGAAGGTAACGCTGTAAATGCCTCAGTCAAAATGACCAATGAATCAGTTGGGTTCCACTTCCATTGAGTCTCTAATTAGAACCATATTTAGGAATTTATGTCATAAATGAAAGACAAAAAGTACAACAGCCTCACTGTAGGATAAGGTTCTAAATATGCAAACATTCTTTTAAAGTCGGCAATAATATCCTAATTACCAAATGGAAAAAATAGACTTTTTGGTTGTTATTCTCACTGGCTCTTTACCAAACATGTTATGCTGGAAGACATATGGAAATGCTACTCCAAGAAGTGATCACCTGCCAAAAATCAGACTATAAATTTTAAACTCAAAAAAGAAATGGGCAATGTCACTTATGGAAGCAAAACTCCTAAACCACCAAGACAACATTACAACCCCGTGCAAGATATTAAGCACCACATTTAAAGAATGAACACTTTCAGAAAATAGAGGAGGTTGATACAAAATGTAAGCAGAAGAAAATATTGGTGATGCCCAACTTAAAATAATTACTAAACTGACCTTAAAAACAACCATTCTTCTTACAAGGTAAGACAATCTTTATCTCAAGCTACATTCAGTGAGAAATTATGCTTTTAACTCTTTCCTACCCTATGTGGGATGTTGTCCGACATAATGATCTTTTGTGGTTTATAAACAAAAATAAACGAAAACATTCTAATTATTTTATATGGCCTAAAATAGATGATGAAATCACCAGGTGAGTTCATACTTAGTTTTTCTCTATTAAAACTGTAGGATAGGCTCGGCGCCTACAGCTCAACCGGCTAAGGCGCCAGCCACGTACACCTAAGGTGGCAGGTTCAAATCCCCAGCCCGGACCCGCCAAACAACAATGACGGCTGCAACCAAAAAATAG